TCTGATGAAATAGATCCATTGCATGGAATCTATCTCCTGCTTGATGCGGAGGTTGATCCTCTTGATTAGTAAATGTGCTTTATCAATTAGCTTAGACCTTGCAATCTTACATCTCACATTCTTGGGTTGAAGCAGCCCGCAACCATATTGGCTTTCTTTACAGGATTACTATCATTGCTCGAATGACCTGCAAGATCTCCTTTTGGAGACATTTGGGAAGACAAGCCCCACCGTGAATGAGACAGAAAGCTAGGTAGTAGCAAGTATCGATACCATGCAAATGGCTGTACATGTTCACCGAAGCTATCCAGAAATCCAGAAATTCGTAAATAGGCGAATATCAATGAAAAGCTCATCGAATAGAACCATCATGCTGGAGACATCGACAACGCCGTCTATTGTACACAGGTATTCTGAAGCATCATACAAGACTTTTATATAGTGTCCGAGTTCTATGTCTGAAAGGACTTATTCGGTGTTCGCTTCGGCTCTCTTCTTCTCCCACTCCTCGAGGAATCGTTTGACTTTCGGGCCCCAAACATCCTCACCAGCTTCGAGATCTTTATACTCGAGGACCTTGTCAGACCCCAGCTCGAAATCCGCCTGGCGCGTTCGGATGAGCGAGCTCATAAGACCACAGCTACCGAGGGCCTTGCCAAGATCATGCGCCAAAGAGCGGACGTAGAAGCCAGACGAAACGGTCATGGTGATTTTCACAGCAGGAGGTTGAGAGGAGGGCTCGGTGGGGTTTGCCGGTGTGGTAGCTATTTCCGACGCATCGGGACCACCTGAGGGCTCAGCCTGCGCCGGCGCTGAGTCGCCCTCGGCGGTGATCTTCTGTTTTTTCGCCGCCGAGGGAGCAAGCTCGGCATCGGTGGCAGCTGGAGCACCCACGTCGTCTTTCGTGGGCTCCTCAGCAGGGGGCGGTGCCTTACGTTTTGTGGCTGTTGAAGTCTCCTGTTCTTCGCTATTCTCGGCCGGGACTTCCGCCTCAGCAGTTGGAGCTACGGGCAGGGTATCATCTTTCGCTAGAAGTCTTTCCGCAACTTCCTTCTCTTCTCCGGCAGCCTCTTCCTCGGGCCACTTGTACTCGTGGGTGCCGGGCTCGTACCACTCGAGAATGCGCAGATCGCTCACTTCCACGGGGCGTGACTGGATCTCAATGGGAGGCTCTTTGCCCTCTCGCGCATACTCGTAAAGTTTCTTTCCCTGGACCTTCAGAGCCGAGAAGATAGGCGGACGCTGCATGATCTTCCCTCTGAACTGCTCGAGCGCCTTCTCAACCGCCTCCCGAGTGATATGCTCGTACGGGCTCCGTCGGACGATCTTACCCAGCTTGTCGTAGGTGTCCGTCTCAGCTCCGAAAAGCACAACCGTTTCATATGTCTTTGTGCACCCCAGGAAGTCATTGAGGTTTTTCGTGCCCTTGCCCACACCCGTGACTAGCACGCCGGTCGCCAATGGGTCGAGGGTACCTCCGTGTCCGATCTTGACGTCCAGACGCTTTGAGCGGCGCCTGTTGCGCTGGTAGCTGCCTTCTCTGTTACGTCGCGCGCGCTCCTCGTCGAGCCAGGGCTTGAAGAGCTTGGAGGGGTTGAAATGGTGCTGAAGAGTTCGGATGACATCGGCCGAGGTGACACCTTGAGGCTTGTGGACGGCTGTTGGACATTAGCGCTAGCTCTGAGCGTGCTTCGGTGCGTATGAGAACACATACCGAAGACGCCTTCGTAGATTTTTTCTCCAGACATCGTGGTACGAAATAATCGGAAGCCGCGACGGAATCCCATCAGCCGCAGGGGAATGGATTGAAGATGGCTAAGAGGTACGGGAGAACTGATGGCAGGTAAATAAATAAGCTCGATCAATACAATAAATTTCCAAGGTGAGAAAGTAAGAAATTGAGCAAGATCAATCTAACTACGCAATGCGGCTGGCAGTTTAGCAATCCATCTCTCAAAAAATAACTGCTACAAAAAAAGGAAAAGAGCAATGCCGGGTGCGATGAAGATGTCTCAGCAAAACGGTACAGTACAATCATTGCTTACATACCAGCGTATTATTACAAACTTACCTGAACTCAATTTCGTAAACTACGGGTAATTACCAGTCTGTCGTGGGGGGTGGGTTTTGCCAGACAAAGGAAGGTCACTCGATGAACTCTTTCGAACTACATTCTGACCATCCTCATTCGATTTATTTCTTGCCCTCAATCTTTGCGTTTGGCTTCTGAAGAAGCTTTTCGTCAATTCCTTTCCATATCAGTCAAGGCACCATGCTGCCCCCAGAGACATGACATCGCGAGAAGATAGTGTCCTGGCCGCCAGAGACCCATCTCTTACGGACGAGAACGACTGGGAAGAGTTCAGTCTGTCTGAAGTCAGGGTCCTGGTGCCAGGCAAGTCCCGCTATGCCAATCTTCTCACAGCATCTCCCAGCAATCCTGTCCAGGTAACGGGCTGTTTGGACGAAGTGGAAGAGGAGCAAGAGTCTTTAGGTATGTATTACTAGAGTTACAACCTTAATTGTTACACGTAGTACCTCCCACAAGTACCTCAATCTTCGTCTTCTTTAGACAGAAGCTGACTTGATTCTTGTCTATTCGGCTAGTCCTCGATCCCGATTACATTACAAAACGGATTGTGATCGATAATGTGACCCATTATGCCTACGGCCAACATAGTGACGGTGAGGTTGGGGTCTGGATTGCTGGCCGTGCTGGCTGGTTTTCGATATCGCCAGCGAGGGGTTACCGACCTATGTTCAATGACGTGGTCGAGGCCATTGATTTGTTATATTTTTTGGCGGACAGACACCAGCCGAAGCGACGAAGACGGAAGAATTGGAATCCAAGCGTTGAGTACTTGTGTGAGGAGGTGAGTACAGACCACATGGTTTGATGGACTCCAGGATGTCAGTCACTTACACTATGCTTTTAGTATGTCAACCACACACATGGTATTTGCGAGGACGCTGATGACTCGGCCGAAGTCTTTTACAAACATCACAACTTCCTGCTCTCTCGAATGCTGAAGGGTGAAGAGGAAGTGGAATGGACCAAAACGCAGCTATTCGAGCATCTGTGCGAGAAGTTCCCTGTGAGCAAGTTCCTCATTACCCATCTCGTCATGATTGCCTTTGCTGATGATGACGACATAGGAGGACTATGAAGAAATTAAATTTTCGCACGAGTCAAAACAAGATGGAGAAGCTATGGACGAGGACGAGGACGAGGATGTTGATGGGGTCCCGGAGGAGTCAACGAATGCGTCTGACCCGAATGTGGTCTCAAAGACACAGGCAGACGCAATTTACCAGGTGATCCTTGATTTGAAAGAGGCAGGACACTTGGCGAAGCGCCAGCTAAATCTTGATTTACTTGCCTCCACTCTTGTGAACCGGTTCGAAATTGATAGTCCCGAGTATGCACAAGACCTGATCTCGTCGAGGGCGAACATCATCCTGGAGCTGATGGACGAAGCTAAGACACCGAACTTTGACTGGTCACGGAAGGTTATCTACCGTGAGCTGAAGGCCGCGTCAAAGAGGGATGAACTTCAGCAGATCGCTCTTACTCCGTTGCGTCCCCGGACTTCTGAAGAAGACGAGTCCTCTGATCAGGAGAGTGAAAACGAAGAAAATCGTAGACCACGGAGACGACGAGTTCGCAAATCCGTGCTTCGCCCGAAGTCGAGCGCATTCTCCACAAAGCAAATTGGCAAGCGCACGCGAAGCACTGCGATCGACCCAGGAGATATGTCCGATGAGAACCAGGAAGGGATGGATGATTTCGAGACCCCCAGTAAAGTCCGCGGTCATGATCTGGTACGGGACCCGCTATCAACCAGAGCAAAACGAAGAACTCGCTCGATTCTATCAGACACGGCCTCCACGCCTCTACACAAAACGCCCTTGCAGGAAACTCTCCAAAGCCGAAATACTTCCGTTTCCACCGCAGATCAGGTACAGGATTCTGTTGGCTCAGACATTCCTCATGCCGACGATGTGCCATCTGATACATGGAGTTGTCAGGTACGAGGATGTGGCAAGGTGATCAACAAGAGCAACACGAAGAGAGGCAAAGAGTTAATTCAAGATCATTCCTTGGCGCATGCAGACGACACAAAGGCCAAGCTTGACCTTGTTTTTGCGGAGCAAAGATTGAATATCAATATACGCGTTGATAATCTTCTTGAACGGATTCGGGAGATGGGGAACCTTGACGCTGGGCTTTCGGTCATGGAGAATGGAACTAACGGTCAAACGGGGTCATGAGACGACTGCTACATTTGACCAACCAGAAAATCCGTTTTGAAATGCTTACAACGTGCTGGTTTCAGACCCCGGGTTGCTGTTAGCACCAACAGATCAGCAATGAGAGCTCGAGCAATGCACTACCTTACTGCTCGACAATGTCCTGAGTGGGTATCATTTGCTTACATATCATTGGTCTGGTGCTGACTGGACTTGCTGTAGGTTGATCACTCCGTCGATGAATAGCTCCACGAGTTTGCATATGAAATGATTGAACACAGATCCATCCTATAATAAAGGGCACGACGCATGCACGATTAATACAGCACCGAAGATTTAGCAGAATCTGACGTCAAGGCAAATACGCATTTCGGGTGTCGAAAGATGAGCGCGGCGTTGTGGATTGATTGATAATGGTACCAAGGAATATCCTTGATAGACATGAGCTCTTCGAATGATACTCAGTGGAAATGATTAGCATGCATGGGAAAGCAGGGTATATATCCCATACTTAATCACAATATAAAGCAAAGTCAGAAGATTCTTTCCTTTTGAGGGCCATGTCTAAGAGTGATCAATATACATGGAGGACTTGACATTGATGGTCATGAAGTCCAAGTTCTGTCTAGACAACAACACAAGTGAAGACAGACGATTTTTTGAACGCCAAACAATAGTCTCTGCTTTTGAATACCCAGCCGAAGACAAATAGACAATGAAATAGTGGAACAATCAAAAGCAACTAGTCATTACGACCGGCCCTTTGCCGCCGCTCTCCTAATCTTCCCAGGTCTCTTGGAGCCACCCTTCATCTTCTTGACCGAGAAGTTACGCAGGTCTCCGCTAGAAATACCGTCACCACTCTTGGCGTGCCGTTTCTTTCCACCGAAGCCGTATTTTTCATTCTTCTTCTGGCGCTTCAGTGAGGGTCCGCCGCTCTCATTGCCGCGACTACGCTTGCGGCTGTCGGGTTTGCTAGAGTCCTCGATGGCGACATCGAATAGATCGTTATCATTGTCCGTAACGCCAGACTTATCAGCCTTGCGCTCTAGTGGACGAGAGAAGCATGTCAGTAATTGTTCAGGAACCTGTGTGAAAAAAAACGGAAACCGTACTCTTCTTCAACTCATTGATCTTCTCGAGCGTCTCGCGCTTCTCCTTCTGTCTCTGTTGCAACTTAGCAACTTGTACCTGCTTTCCGAACTTCTTCAGATCCCGCTGCTTGCGGGCTTCCGCAGCGGCCTTCTTCGCGGCAGCTTCGTCGTACAGCTTCTTCTTAATCTTGCTCATGTGCTCGTCCGTCTTGACCATCTCCGCAAAATAGTCGCCGGGCCTAGTGAACGGAACACCCTCCTTCTTCAACAGGCGACGCGCCTCGGAAGCGGCAGCCTGGCAAACCTTGTAGAAAGCCAACTCTCGGTTCAGGTCGTCGTTGGGGTCGGGGACTTCGATCGGCTCTTTCGAGACTATGGAATTGTGCTCTGAGAACGGCGTCTGGGAAGTGATGAAGGAAATGCGTTTGATAGATGCGTTGATAGCAGCAGAGTTGTTGATCGTGAGGCGCTGGTGAGGAACCACATCCTCTCTTTCGTCTTCGGACAAGTCGGACAGAGGAATGTCTTCTTCTTCTTCCTCCTCCTCCTCCTCCTCCTCCTCATCTTCGTCTTCCTCGTTGTCTTCTCCTTCTCCAGCCCCCTCTTGATCAGACTCTTCACCTTGTCCCTGCTCTTCATCCTCATTGTCGCTTGATTCGTCTTCTTCTGCATCTTCAGGAGCATTGCGCTTCTTGGATTTCGGATTCTCCGACTCGGCCTGCGCGCACGCGAGCAATTGATTTAGCAATTTTGATCCGAAGGCTTTGTGTCTCGACACCAACATACCTTGCCATTTGTTTCAACAGTCTCCTCTTCCTTATTCTCATCATCTCCTATATTCGTCTTCTTTGTCGCTTTTCTCTTCTCCGCCGCCTTGGCTAGTTTCTTCTGCTTCTCTGCATCGTAGTCTCGGCCCTTGTGGGCATCAAGAGCCTGGAGTAACTTGCTGCGCTTGGCCATTATCTCTATGAAAGCGAGATCCACGAGAAAAAGATTAGAGGAGTGTCCAACTGCAAGCTTGCAATTACTGTCGAGCACCGCGGCGGACTTTCAAATCAGGAAACCACGGGAATTTTTTGGGGATGCCGCTAGCCCAGATATGGTTAGCGTCCAAGATAAACCAGAACTAATCTAGATTTAGTCTAGAGCATCTCGGTGATTGGGAAAAATAGTTGATCCTCGAGCATCTTATTGTCTTGAATGGATATCAAGCATGGGGAGTATACAGGACGATAAACATCACCTTTGCGGTTGACCTTTGGTGCATACACAGCATTTATTCTGAATCTAATCCGTAATCTACCAGTGTTTCAAAATCGACTGTCTGTACCTTGCAGAAACCTCATTATCAATGCACCATGGCAGAAGATAGCAAATCTATCTCAACGTCAGAGGCCGTCACCCCTCCCACCGGGGAATCTCTGCGATCGCAACAGGTTTGTCAAGTTGTCACACTATCATTGAGAAACATGTCGCTTACAATTACAATCTCTGCAGAGCTCCGACGCACAAGGCCAGTTCTCAGCAGCGGTCGACGACCTCCTAGATCAATTACAACACAAGTTCGACAATGTGTCGCGGGAAGTGTTCGCAAAATGTTCGTTTGCCTCGTACATGGAACCTATCGCTAGGCTAGCTATATGTGATACTGACTTGAGCGTTCCTAGTGGACGACATGGCTACGCGACTCGACGAGCTGGAAGCTTCCTTGACTGTTGCGGGCGACACGGCGGCGGCGACAGCGTCGTCTCCAACAAAATGACTTTTGTGCGTGCATATACCTTGTGGCATTTCGTTTCCATAGCATGTTCTTGCATTGGCGGTCTGTTTCCGTACGGCATGGAGTTCATAGGTCAAGTCCTTCTGAGCGGTGCATTGATTACCTTAGAAATGGTGGCGGATGTGCAAGCATACTTGGTTGTATTGATGTCTCACGCATTGAGAGATACCCTGTCGAAGTTTTGAGGGATAGACGCCTCTTGTTATATATTTCTCGAATCGTTGTTTCCTGTATCAAACCATTATTTCTGAATTCTTTACCATCATGAAGTTTCGGGCACATATTTGATAGACTAAAAGTCATACAATTGAACAAGTCCGTCAATGATCTCCAACTTTACAATCGTACAGTTTAAGCCAGTGGAATAATCTACAGCTCGTCCTTTGCATCGGTCTGCTTCTCACCCACAAACTTGCGCAGGATGTTGCTGCGAGAAACAATATCGTCGATCTTCTCGGGGGCCGAGCCACCCTTCTCAAGGATCTTCTTGAGACGAGCCAGCTCCTTGCTGGCATACTCCTCGTTCTGGCTGATCTTCTCAGCAACCTTAACATAGTACTGAGCATGCTTGTCCTGGAGACCCTTGGCAGCCTTCTTGACCTCCGCAACCAGCTCCTTGGCGTTGCGCGACGAGACGTACTTGGTGACAAACTCGTCTAGAGCGGCGACTGTGCCGGCCTTCTCATTGAGGCCTCCACCAACGGCGCGGTTAGTACCAGCGTTGGCGTTCAGGAAGTCGACGAAGGCCTCCTCGGAACGAGCACCGGAGTAAGCAACGGGCTCGGTTGAGCCTTTGGGGAAAAACTTAATGGTGGGGTATCCGGTGACGCCTTGTTCTTTGGCGAGGGCCTTGGAGTTCTCTGCCTCGGCGTCGACCTTGGCGATCACAACGTTGGGCTCGAGGGCGAAGTCATTGGCGAGGGTCTCCCAAGTGGGGGCGAGGTTCTTGCAGTCTGTAAACGCCGAGGCATATTAGCTCAGTCCGACGAAGCAAAAAAGGCATATACATGATATAAAGGAAGAACTCACGTCCACACCAAGGCGCAGTGAAAGCAACCAAAACATTCTTGTCACCGCCAATAGTAGACTTGAACGAAGACTCAGTCAACATCTCAACATTGCTAGGCTCCTTCTTTGCTCCACGAGGCTTGATGCCAGTCTTCTCTGAAATAAACGCAGACAGGCTCTCCAGATCCCGTCCACCCTTGTAGTCCTCGGGCTTGTCGCTCTTGCCATCGAACCACTTCAGGGTCGGGAATCCCTGGACACCAAACTTCTTTCCAAGATCTCTGTGTTCGTCCGCATCCACCTTGGCCACGGTCACCTTGTCCTTCGCGAACTCGAAAGCCTGAGCGAGCTCCTCATAGACGGGCGCGAGGGTCTTGCAGTGGCCACACCAAGGGGCAAAGAATTCGACCAGAGCGGGCTTTCCGGACTTGAGGACGACCTCGTCGAAATTCTTGGGAAGCAGATCAATGACGGCGGAAGCGGCGCTGGCAATGCCGACGAGCAGTGTGAGGCAGCTCACAAGCAGGAAGCTCAACCGAGCCATGGTGGCTTGTTTGATAGAAGAAGCGAAGGGCCGAATAACAACTCAATTGAAACACAAGATATTGGGCAATGCTATGCGTAGACTGTCTCGATGGTAGAAGAGTTGTGATCGCTGCCTTCAACTAAATCAGCCCAAATAGTGAAGGTGGTGTGATTTGCCTCCCAACGTATGGATCCCACACCAGAAGCTCCGCAATCACCGCAGATCACAGCGGATTTTATCAGCGGGTCGGAAGAGGACACTTGGTATCTATACTCAGGACGGATTACAAACCACAAGTCGTACAACCACACAATTGACTTCGTCAATCAAGATGGGTTGCAGATGTGTAACTGTAACAAAGTGCTATGAATATGTCACCTGTTGTAGAGACGGCACGTAGCCAGTAAGGTATTTAGTGTTACGGTCCCTTTAGATTTCTAAACCTGTCACTCAATCACCATCGCTGACAAGTGACAATGCTGTTAATGTTTGTAGACTCGATTTCATTCGTGAGATTGCAGTTGCCACGACCGCCCCTTGGTCCATGAGCTCTCAACACAATTATCGCCTCCCGGACAACCATTCATTTGCCTCCTTCCACAACTGAACGTCCTTGAATTCTTTACCCGTGTTCTGCGTGCCCTTATAGACCTGATGTAGAAGAGAAAAATATCAGCTCCTGCGGTGAGAATGGTTTCCATTCTTTGGTACTCACCGCATCCCAGAGCTTGAAGGCCTTTTCGAGATTGCTCGTAAAGCTGTCACTGTGTTGAAACCATTCTTTACCCTTGGACTTCACCTCTACCCGTGCCTCAGGCGAAGTTGGGTCCGCCTGCAGGGGCAGATCATCGAGATATGTGCGAACTGCAATGCCGAGACCGCAGTCATTGTCGTCGATGAATGGGAGTCTAGCAAAGGTCAGCCCCATCGATGTTCGTGAGTATGATATAAGTCTTACTTGACACTCATCTCAGTCCAGTCATTCCGATCTCTGTTGGCATCTCCGCTAAGAAAGAGGCCAGCCAAAACAACTTCGATCAGATTTCTTAATGTGGAGCGGACTTCAGAAACAAGAGAGCGGTAGCAGAGCAATTGCCTGCTGAGTGGCCCTGAATAGCCGATATTCTTGTGTTGTATCTTAGCGATACAAGCCACACGCGAGATCAGGATATTGAACTTTTTGTCCTCATCTAGAGGGACAGACGAGATCAGTAAGATATGCATCGGTGCATCAATCAAACACAGTCGACTCACCTGAACCTCTCATCGGACCTCCCGAGACATGAGAAAACCACTGTTTGAAATTCAGGAGTCCGAAACGGACCATTTCAACAGCAAGGAATGTAGCCTCTTCCAGATCATCAGCCGGATCAAGGACGGAAAGTGCTTGCTCGAGGCAGACACCCCATGAGGTGAGTCGGTGTTTCTCATCAATGTAGCCTCGCAATTGCAGGAACCTCCAGTAGACGTTGGCAAGAATTTCATCTTGTGACGATAGCGGCTTTTGATCATTAGGTCCATTTATATCCCAGAACTATCCGGTAATAAGAGGTTTGGTTAGACTCACTTGAGCGTCTTTAGACGATGCAAAAGACTTGGCTACGAATTCGGGATCTTGCAGGCTCTGTACAGCAAACTTGAGCGGAGAGGAGGTGCTCTGGCCACTTGTCAGACAATTCAATGTTGGTGTGCAGGTAACATGCTGAACAGACCTGTAGCTTTTTTGCTCCCTCGGGCAGCTGGTCAGAGCGAATTTTCCACGCCTGAATGGTTTCCTTGACGGAAGGAAGAGTCTTCAGATTGATCGACTTGTCCAATTTTTCATCAAACCATGTCCGTATATTGATCACTTTGGTCTGGTAGAACCTGTGAAGGGAATTTGAGAGTAAAGAGATGGACTGAGTTCTGATTGGAGTGAGCGTGCTGCTCACAGTTTGACGATATATTTCGGTATCTTCAACTCCCAATGGAAGGGAGATTTGAACCTCACCAGATGTCAGATTGTTGGGAATTTCAGGACCTAGGATGCCCCTGGAGAGGTAAAAGTAAAGTTCTTCGGGCAGTCGCTGGCCGATCAGTTCATGCATATCGGACGATGTGTTCTCCGAATCCATAGGTGCGACCTTGCCATCCACGTCCATGATCACATGGTGTTTCACCGTCATGAACGCACGCTTGTAACCATCGGTATACTGAAGTTCCTGCAAGCGGCGGTCATCTTCGAACTGAGCACATAGAGCTAGTGCATTTCGACCTGCTTGGTTGAACATCTGAAGAGCATCACGAATGCTGAAGCTCTTTCCCGGAAATGGTGGGTTCTCGAAGCCCGGGAAGGTTCGCAGGAACGATGAGCCCAATAACAGGCAGAAATCTAGGAACTGCTCATTTGATAGCCTGCCCAGTTCATCTTGGCAAGTTTGTTTGGTAATCCAGAAAAATTGAGAAGACTCGATATCAATCCGTGTGATTAGTTTGTCAATGTCGAAGAGAAGTGCTTCAGAGGGCCCAAAGACCGCATCAATGAGGGGATTGGAGCCTTTGGCAAGATAGGAAAGCTATCAGAAGTGAGGAGTAAGAAACCGAGCCGTTGCGAGTCAATCTCTCCGATGGTCGCTTTCTTACCTGAGCCGCGGCACTGTACGGCGCCACAATGAAGTCAACACCGTTTTGGTACAGGATGCGCTGCAGAAATCTGTAGAGGGATTCAGGGCGCGGTGTGCCTGGAGTGGGCGGAGCGTTGTCAGCGCAAGCCAGTAAATAGGGATAACGGGAATGCAGAAAGGAAGTCGTACCCGCGCTACTGAATGCGTCGACTACCTGATCTGCCTGTTGTTGGTCATAAAGCTCCCAGGCTTGTTCAAAAGCTCGCAACGACTCTGTCTGCACGTGGGGTCGCTGGTCCTTCTTCCCAAACTCTAGGCCGTTGAAGACGAAAAGACAGGCCACACCCAGTTCCTTGAAACTCTGTAACTCTTTCTCAATGTTGCTCTTCAGCGCAAACGGGAAGCCGCCCAGAGCGACCAGTAAAGGCTCGCGAGTCGAGTGGTGGAGAAGGTGCTGGGAAATGTAGTGCGACGCATCGATACCGACAACAGCCCCTTTGAGAGCGGAGAGAGGAAGGGACTGGGTGCGGGCAGAGGCCCATTCATCAAGTGGGCGGACTAAGAATGAGAGAAGTGATGGCAGTCAGCTTCATGGAACTAGTTCGCCCACGTATGAGCTCGGAGGGGTCTGTAGGAGTCGCCTTACTCGGCATGGCTTAGGAGCTGGAGCTGTTTGTCACGGAAAAGAGATGAAGGACCCAATGCCAGGCATGGAGAGCTCGAACAGGGCAGGGAGAGGGAGAAGAGTAGAAGAGGGAAGAAACGAGCGAGGAAGGGAACAGTGAGAGGAGAGGGGAGACGAATTTCCCGAGTAGTGAGGTGTCGCTCGAGCTCCGCGTGCTGTT